CCCATTTCCACCAGTTGAGGATATCGTATGGAACTAACAAAGGGAAGAATTATACAGAAGAGGAGGATCGCTTTCTCATCTGTATGCTTCACAAGCTAGGATTTGATAAAGAAAATGTATATGATGAATTAAGGCAGTGTATTCGAAATTCTCCTCAGTTCAGATTTGACTGGTTCCTTAAGTCCAGAACTGCAATGGTACCCATTTCCACCAGTTGAGGATATCGTATGGAACTAACAAAGGGAAGAATTATACAGAAGAGGAGGATCGCTTTCTCATCTGTATGCTTCACAAGCTAGGATTTGATAAAGAAAATGTATATGATGAATTAAGGCAGTGTATTCGAAATTCTCCTCAGTTCAGATTTGACTGGTTCCTTAAGTCCAGAACTGCAATGGTATGTGTCGATTTGGATATGTTCATTGTTTTTATTCACACGACACTGTCTCATTCACGTGTTTGTCAGTTGTTTTAAAACCTGTGTACAAACTCTACCAGGAAGAGAACATTTCCTTGGCCTTTGAAATATGTATTAAGTTCCTATAGAGAAGAAACATTGTGTAGAGGTACATACTTATATATATGAGTGTATATATAAAATGTTTTCATAATTGAAAATTGATGAAGTTTAGGCTTTTGGTGGTTATATGCAGCATCTGTAACTTAGTAAGATTAACAAGGAATCATGATTAATAGCTTTGATTGTAGAAATGTGTAATACTGACTAGGTACTAGAGATGTTAGTATGTAGTCGTTTAACCAGCCCTCCCACTGTCTCACCATGGGACTGGAGCATACAAAATCTACTAGGCTGGGTCCTCCTAGGCTCTGATGTGTGAGGGGAATATGGGTAGTGACTTTTGCCGCCTTACTTAGCAGCCATGTCAGTGAGGGCTTGTGGTTTGGGTTTTTTGTTTTTATTTCTCACCAGTGTGCTGCCCTGGACAGATTTTTCTGTGGGGCAGTGGCTCCAGAACTCAAAAGGGTTCCCCACCCCGAAAAGGGGAGTTTTTGACTCCACTATGCGTTTGTCAAACCTTGTGTGTTTTATTTTGAGACTAGATTAAATGTTAGACATACTCAAGACTATCCGCTGTTAAATACAGAAATCTGCTAAAACACTGGCATAAGTTACAGCAACTAGATCATCGTTAAGGTCTTGAATTTGTTTTTATAAAATGTTATGATCCCCCTTGTGTAAAGTTAATGTAAAAAATCATTTGAAGATGGTTACTATGTAGGAGTCAAACTGATATCTTGTGTGTAACTCAGGAGCTACAGCGAAGATGCAATACCTTAATCACTTTGATTGAAAGAGAAAACATGGAATTGGAAGAAAAGGAGAAGGCAGAGAAGAAGAAACGTGGACCAAAGCCTTCTTCAGTGAGTTTTATGCATCTTAACTCTATGTTCAAATGCTTGGGTGAAGAAAACTACCTGGTTATACAGGCTGTATTTCTGGTGTCTGAGAAGTATTGGGTACTTACTGGTTGTCTAGAAAATGAAAAAGCAGTGCCTGAAATGTCATTTTGTGATTCCATCTACTTAACTAAAATAATCCTATTTTACAAACCAGTGGGTCTGGTAGTTAGGATCCTAATGCTATATTTTTACACCTAAATAAGTGCAAAGATTTTTCAGAGAACTTAGCTTTTTATTTTATTTTGGGTCCTTAAAAAAACTACACCAAGATTTTAAAATCCAACTACAGACCTATAACACAACCATGTATCTGAAACTGAACTTTCTTCAATATCTTGCATTAGTGGCAATAAATCTTGCAATCCAAATTTGGTTGACCGTTTTATGAATTCAAAAGGCAGAATAACATCATGGCTTATTTTCCTGTTTCATATGCAGTACTTTTAAGCTTATTTTACTGAAATTACTTAGCATCTGCCTCTTTTCAGGCTTAAGAGAGAAAACGCTATTTTTGTTCACAGCCATTCTCTACCCATTTTCATGAGCATTTCTATGCTAAGCAATTCCAATGAAAATTGTTTGCCTTTTTTTTTTGTATTTCCAATAAGGTTGTAAAGGGTTAGCCTCGTGCTTAATGGGTAAGGCTTACCATTTCTGGTTAGCCAGTAGGGGCTGGAGAAGCTCCCTGTTCGCCTTGGGCTGGGGGCTACTTCAGCTCCATGGGGCCCTATGCTCAGCAGGGCCAGCTTGTCCTCCCTGTCGGGCTGGCAGCCTGCTGTTGTCTCTATAAGCATGTAACTCTCTAACCACTATCATTTTTAGCGGTTACATGGTTGCATTTTTACATCCCTAGTTTCTAACCTGGTTTTAGTCACTTTGCTATACCTTTTGGAAAAATATGGTGAAGATCTGACTGGCAGATATCTCTGCAGTGAGTAGAAAAGCCCATAAATTACGTTAGATTTGAATTTAAAATGCAAGTTCCATCAAGAGTATAGGCCAACAGGATAATTCTGACCTTCAGTACTGACCCTTCTATAAGTATGACAGTGTTAACTTAGTTCATGCACATAAAGATAATTCTACAACTATTCAACTTTTGCAGAATTTCCACAAAGTGAATGCACCTTAAGTGCAATTGTTGCCCTCTTATCCCTGATAAAATGTAGTAAGTGTGTTGAAGACAGCAGGGCTGTGTCTACACTGGGCCATTTATTCCGGAAAAGTGGCTGATTTTCCGGAATAAGCTGCGAGCTGTCTACACTGGCCCTTGAATTTCCGGAAAAGCAACGATGCTCTACTGTACAAAACCAGCCACTATGCCGGAAAAACTATTCTTCTCCCGCTCGGGCATAAGTCCTTATTCCGGAACACTGTTCCAGAAAAGGGCCAGTGTAGACAGCCCAGTAGTCTTTTCTGGAAAAAAGCCCCGATCGCGAAAATGATGATCGGGGCTCTTTTCCGGAAAAGCGCGTCTACATTGGCCACAGATGCTTTTCCAGAAAAGCAGCCTGCCAATGTAGATGCTCTTTTTCCGGAAATACTTATAACAAAAACTATTCTAAGCATTTCCGGAAATTCATGCCAGTGTAGAGACAGCCCAGCTGATTGAATAAGGATATAACCATGAGAGGATGCTGAGGAGCCAAAAGCATATTCAAGTCTCTAATACTCAGTTTAAAACTCAGTTAACATGCTTTTTCTAGATGTGAATAGCCAATATATTATGTAAAGCTGATAGCTGAAAGCTCTTTCTGCTAAGTAGAGGAAAGTCTTGGAACCCTCAGCCATATTGAAAATCAGCTAGTTAGCCAAACAGTTTTAACACAGGTTTATACTGTTTAATGTCCTTGCAAAGCAAGGGTTGTATAACTATTTGATCTCTAGTATAAACAAGGCCTAGTGGGTAGATTTTTGGTTACAATGAGCACATCTTAGGCAGAATAAAATAGTGACCCATATTTTCATGTATTATCTTACAGGCACAGAAGCGTAAAATGGATGGTACCCCTGATGGTCGAGGAAGGAAAAAGAAGTTAAAGCTGTGAATGCTGAACTTTTGTAATCACTAAATTTTAAAAAGTAGTTCTTTAATTTACGGGTCTTCATAAGATGTACTGTACAATGCTCAACTATTATGTCATTAAAGGACATCAGGTTCATCTGTTTACTGAACTAGAAACATAGTACTTAATGTAGTTTCACTTTTTTAAATGCAACAGCTGTGCTGAACTTTTTTTTACCATTAAAGTAATAAAATAGGCTTCATTTATTAATAAATAAAAGGTTTCAGTTGACTTTTTTTAAACAGCTCCAGTTGAAAAGCTAACAACTGTTTGAGAACTCCTGGTTTATTTAGAGTGTTTCAAGGTGGCAGCACTGTGTGTAGCTCAGGGTCAGCTGGGGAATGCGGAAGTGCCTACTGGCTGGTGGAGTAGTTGATGGCAATTCCATTGACTAGTAAAATAAGTGATAGTTAATATCCCTTGTAAGTACTCTTCATTACCCTGAGCATAGTACAGGCAGTCCCCGGGTTACGTACAAGATAGGGAGTGTAGGTTTGTTCTTAAGTTGAATCTGTATGTAAGTCGGAACTGGCGTCCAGATTCAGCTGCTGCTGAAACTGATCAGTTTCAACAGCGGCTGAATCTGGACGCCAGTTCTGACTTACATACAGATTCAACTTAAGAACCCCAGGCGTCCCCAAGTCAGCTGCTGCTGAAACTGATCAGC